GCGAGGGCAGCCGGGGGCAGGCCGGGCGCCCCGCTCGGACGCTGAAGGGCCGGGCGTCGTGGGGGTCATGGCATCGCTGGCGGAGCGAGTGCGGGCCAACGGGCGCATCGCCGCCGGGCTCCTGCTCAACCTGCTGGTGTCCATCTGCATCGTGTTCCTCAACAAATGGATCTATGTGCACCACGGCTTCCCCAACATGAGCCTGACGCTGGTGCACTTTGTGGTCACCTGGCTGGGCTTGTACCTGTGCCAGAAGCTGGACATCTTTGCCCCCAAAAGCCTGCCGCCTTCCAAGCTCCTCCTCCTGGCCCTCAGCTTCTGTGGCTTCGTGGTCTTCACCAACCTCTCCCTGCAGAACAACACCATAGGCACCTATCAGCTGGCCAAGGCCATGACCACGCCGGTGATCATAGTTATCCAGACCCTCTGCTACAAGAAAACCTTTTCAACCAAAATACAGCTCACGCTGGTGAGTAGCCTCAGCTTCGCGAGGCGCAGCTCTAACAGCCCACCGCCTGGACGTCTTTTTCACCGGGAGATTTGAATGTTTAACCTTGCTCCACGCTCTCCCGTCATCTTGAAACCCACACGTGTCATCTGTGAGCATGTCGATTGAAGGCTTATTTGGGGGAGATGGAAAAAAGCCATGTAGGCGCTCCATTGGGCTCTGAGCCCAGAAGTGTGTTTGTGTGTTTTAATACCTCCTGTTTATTGTATATCCTTAAATGCTGTGATTGATAAGAAAAGTGTATTGGATAGTGCAGGTCAGTGAATCCGATACTGTATCTGCAAAATCTCAAACCGAGAACAGCCCACCTCCCCCAGGGGAACCACACCACGTATGATAAAAGTTAAAGGGTTAGCATAAAATATCTCTCAGACTATGTTAGCAGCGACATTCTGCAGAGATTTCTGGATCGATAAATGTAAGAAATGGGCTAAAATAATTTTAGCACTTAATAATTTACAATATTTAAGATCCCAATGCTTTTGTTATATGTTTATCTGTCGTTTAGACATTAGTTTGGGGGTTCTTTTACTCCTATGCCCATGCATGTGGTACTCATTTCTTGCAAAGTGCAAGGCATTGACTTATTATTTTACCCAAAATTTTCAGTAGAATTAAGTATGAACATAATGAGAACTATCATATTTAACTTTGAGGAAACAGGAGTAATAGTCAATGTTTTCAAATAGAAAAGAAGAAAAATGTATAGAGGTTCATTGTTTCCCAGTGATTTTTTTTTAATTAACTTTGTAAGACACCATGAAAGGAATACTCTTGAATTTAATCTGAACAACGTTTACCTCTTTTTCTTTACAGATTCCTATAACTTTAGGTGTAATCCTAAATTCTTATTACGATGTGAAGTTTAATTTCCTTGGAATGGTGTTTGCTGCTCTTGGTGTTTTAGTTACATCCCTTTATCAAGTGGTTGGTAATTTTTTTTTTTCTTTATGTGCCTTTTTAGCAGATTTCATAAATTTTGAAGCTGTATCCCAAGGTTTAGAAAATACAGTATAGAGACAATAAACTGTTAGGAAGAAAGCATCATTGCATAAATTGTCTGACTCAAGGTGAAGAGAAGAAAGGAGACAGAGAAACTTGGGTGTGTGATGCTCACCAAATACCTACCTCCCTGTTTGTAAGTGTATAATACCCATGCTTAATAGTCTGAGTTTGGGGTGGTGTTATATTATATTCTGGGAAATCTTCACAAAATGAGTAGTAAGACTTGACTTTAGGACTGAGTTCATTGGTTACATTTCTCATTTTAATTATAACGTTATTGTGAAGGAGTGAGTACGCTTTCAAAAATTTGAGTGGGAAAGGAAAATTACAGATTTATAAATCTTTGCCTCAGAAAATATGCTGTTACAACTTGTATATTGGCTTCGAATAATTTGTCTATATCAATATTTTATAGCAATGGGTATTTCACTTCTTGTACCAGCACAGTTCCTTGCCTATATAGCAGGCATTCATTAAAAATTTGTTCATGGATCCACTTCATTACCATAAAACCTGAACAAGTATATTTTTTGTTATTTATGTGTGTGTGCGGGGGGAAGTAACTTGGTGTAGGGTACAGTGAAACAGTATTTTCTCTATACTGAAAACCTTGGACTGAAAATTCTGGGTGTGCCTGCATGGGGAAATTAGAGTCAAAATGTGTGACTAATTTTACTTTTTTTGCAAACATCTACTGGTTATAAACTAAGACATTCTTGTTGAGTGTTAGTTTAATAATACAGTCTTAGCATCTTAAACTTTATAATACTGATCATTTCAGAAGTATTGTTATATAAAAATTCTAGGGTGAATAGATATTTTAGTGGCAGAGAAGTAGTCTAAAAAAGATACCAGTGGCATGAAAGGATGGAGCACCTACTCACTCTTGTCACTTGGCTCCCAGATATTATCTTTTACTGCAGAAAGTAATGAGAGGAAGCTCAGCTTTGTGCTTCAAGAAAATTATATTTGGGTGTACTTCAGTGAGTTTAAATTTGTTGCTAGAGACAGTAAATGAACATTCTTTTTTGCCCAGTATGGATTAAATATTTATTAAATATAGCAAGAAATTTTATTTGTTGAACATTAGACTTTCTTGCATTCATTATATATAATTTAAATTTAGAGTACTCACTGTTCATGCCAATATCACGATTTTTGTTCACACAAGTCTCAACATTGTTATAGATTAGAATCAAAGGATTCAATATCCTTCAGGTAGATATTTGGAATGAGACTGACCAAGAAATGATTATAGAGTAACAAATAGGCAGAGTTCTCCGTTATTAGTAAATGGTAAAAAGTACTGTTACAAAATAGGTGTATTTCCCAAAAATTCATTTTAGAGAAAGTTGTATTTTCCCACTGCATCCAGGTATAATTTCTAAGTTATTTCTGCTGGGGCATTAAAAGGAGTTAAAAGATGAGTGATCAGCTATTAGCTTTCATTGTAGAAAGACTGTTGAGTCATTCATTCATTCAGCAGACATTTCTTCTGCTTTATGCTCAGCCTTGAGGGTACAAAGATGAAAAGCAGCTACAATTCAGTATTGTAGACACATGTTTAGACAGCTTATCACGAGTAGGATAGCTCAGGGTATGAGGAAAGTTTTGAGGTACACCAGGGAGGAAGTGGCAGTTCTACCAGAGAAGGGTGAGATAAGACTTCATGGAAAAGTTAATTTAAATTGAAGGACACATGCAAATTTACTTAGCAAAGAAATATAGCAGAGGTCTTTCTTTGCAGTGATGTATGGAGCATTTTTGGAGAACTTGACTTGTTTGGCATTGTGGAAGGCTAAGGCTTAGGGGTGGGTGAGACCAAATGGCAGAGTCTTAAATGTCATGTAAAGGAATCAGACACCAGGAAAGGAGTGTGGATAGGGGAGTGACTTGATCATTCCCTGTACTTTAGAAAATTAACTCTGGTGGCAATGAAGAGTGAATAAGAGAGGGAAGAAAGGGTGACAGGAAGCTCTCCATGGTTTGAAGGGAAGACAGGAAGGCACTGGCCAAGGGCAGTGGTAGTGGAATAGGTAAGGAAAACACTCCGGAAACCTTTTGGAGAAAGAATTAGTGGGACCTGACCGAATGTGAGTGAGGAAAGTAAAGAGTATGATTCTTGGAGGAGATTATATCAATTATTAGAGCAACATAGGATGAATTAATTCGGGGAAGAAAGTAACGAGCTTGATTTTAAATAAATCCCTGCAGATTATCTAAGTGAAGATGGCCTGTAAGCTGTTGAAGATGTGAGTTTAAGGATGCTCAAGCAAAGAGGTCAGAGCTATGGACGTCAGCAGATAGTAAAAGAAATCAGTTAGGGAGTTAAAAGAGGAAGGCCAGAGATCTACCTTAAAAATTGAAAGTGGAGGAAGAGGTGAGTGAGGAAACAGTGCAAATCAGGGGTCAAGTTCTTCCAAGAGAAATTTGCAGATTCTACAGAGAGCTCCAGCAGGACAGTGGAGGGGAGTCCTACAGATATGACTGTTGGAGATGATGTTGCCCTTTTGGAGAGCAGCTTCGTTAGAGGGGTGGTGAGCAGAAGCCAGGCTGCATTGCAGGAAGGGGAAGTGGAGGCCCTGACTCACCATGATTCCAGGCAGTTCTGTGTCAGAGACATGCAGCTGCCTGGTAAGGCTGCTGAAGGGACAGAGGGACAGGCATATACTCTGCATGTTTTTGCTCACTGCAGTGCCCCAAGGAGCCAGCCGCAGAAGAATCACTTCTTTGTCCTTCATACTCACAGAAGACTGTTAGTTAAGGCTGGCAGGAATATGTGTCAGATTTCCTGCTCTTCCGTTTTTGTCTTGGTGAATTTCTATAGATTTAGAGTATATGTAACAGGATACCCAGACCTACAAGAAAAAGAATTATGTAGGAGCAGTTATTCAAAGGCCTGGCCGTTATTGCCAGATATTCAAACCATCCTATCGAACTTTTTTTAAATAGTCATATTTGTGAAGCATTTAGAGGACTGATGGGATTTGAGGCTTTGAGGTGTCAGTTCTACTGAGTGACATAGTTGTTTAGGGTTTGTGATCATCTCATTTTTTGAGGTGTATTGGTGGGAGATTACCCACAGGAAAGTCATCCATAATGAGGAAAATTCCTTTTACTGTTGACTGGGGTTTTTTAAAGTGAGTCGAAAGACTTCACATACCTTTCTAGCCACATACATTGGCAGCCACCTGGGATAACTGAGGTTCCTGTCAGTCTCTAATTAGTCTGCCCTGCCCCCCCAGTCTTTTCGGGGGGCATTTTAGAAAGAAATCAAGTCTGACACTGCATCTGTATTCCTACTAATGACCCAAATTTCCATTCCTGTCATTTTTTCCTGAGCTCTCTTAGGCTTGTGGCTTCCTGTGTGCATGGACTTTCCCCATTTACTAGGATCAAGAGGGAAGAGAGGATTTTCTTCTTCTTTATAATTCAGAAGAAAATACACAATCAGACATTGAATTTATAAAGCTCCTCTCATCTAGCGTGCTTTAGGAACATTTATATATATTATTGATCTTTGAAATCTTGTAGAATAATTAGACATTTCCTCTTCCCCCAGCCCCGTGCCCCACATTCCCATCTCTGTGGCTAGAATTGCATCTTTCCTTTATTAAGTAATGCTATTTTTTTTCTGCGTAACTGGTTTTATCTCCTAATTTTCAGTGGGTAGGAGCCAAACAGCATGAATTGCAAGTTAACTCAATGCAGCTGCTGTACTACCAGGCTCCAATGTCATCGGGCATGTTGCTGGTTGCCGTGCCCTTCTTTGAGCCACTGTTTGGAGAAGGAGGACTGTTCAGCCCCTGGTCAGTTTCTGCTTTGGTGAGTTCTAATTGTTTTGGTGTCTAAGAAATAAGATAATAATAATCCCTCCATTATTAATGCAATTTTAATTTTCAGATCACTAGTTCAGATTCATTCTGACATTTTGTATTCATAATTACCCTTTAAGGGAGGCGAGGTAAGGATTATTTTTTCGATGAAGAAACTGAAACACAAAGGTTGAGAAACTTGCCCAGGGTCAGGCAGGTAGTCAGTGGCAAAACAAGGCCTAAAATTCGGGTTTGCTGATGCTTTGTTACTGTTCTGGTCACACCAAGCTATAGCTCACAAATAATTCAGGCATCTATTTTTATTTTACTTTTTTACAGTGAAAATATAGGTTTATTGATTTGGGGTTTTTTTCTTTCTTCTTAAAGAAGTCCATTAACATTTCTTGTAATATTGGTTTGGTGGCAGTGAACTCTTTTAGCTTTTTCTTATCTGGGAAGCTCTTTATTTCTCCTTCAACTTTAAGTGATAGCCGTGCTGGGCAGAGTAGTCTTGGTTGTAGGTCCTTGCTTTTCATCACTTTGAATATTTCATGCCAATCCTTTCTGGCCTGAAATGTTTCTGTTGAGAAATCAACTGACAGTCTTATGGGAGCTCCCTTGTAAGTAACAAACTGTCTTTCTCTTGCTGCTTGATTTTGTTTTAATAATATAAATAGTACATGGTCATTGTATAGATGTTGAACATACATAAAAATATAAAGAAAGTGAAGGTCCTTAGAATCCTGCTAAACTAAGATAATCACCTTTATCATTTTCGTGATTATTTCATGGATCTCTTTTTCAGATGCACAGACACACGAATGTATGTGTGTTTGTATGTGTGTATGTATAATTTTATATACATGGAACTTTATCATATATGCTCTTTTTATCATGAATTCCTTTTCCCCAGTCCTCCTACCCATACACACTTCCACATCTCATTACCCCATCCCTGCCCCTTGAAGTAAGTCATGTCAACATTTAGTGTTTGTTCTTTCATATTTTTCTTCATGGTGTACATACCCATATATCAACATAAACAACACACACATGCACGCACACATGTTTATATACATAAATAAACATTTGTTTCTATTACAAAAGTGGGATCATATCACATGATTTTCTGTATCTGACTTTTTTCACTTAATACCTCATGAAAGTCTCTTTATATCATTCTTTGCAATGCCTGTATAATAGTTCCAGTTCCAGATCTTGACCACTATGACCAGTGTTGCAATAAACATCCTTGTACATGTGTCCTCATGAACTGGTACTTTTTTTATGAAGTAGAATCCTAAGAATGGAATTGCCAGATCAGAGGGATACGTACTTTGGAGACATTTTAAGTTAGTATAATCCCCCACTTAGGGAAGGAATGTCTGCTTCTTGTAACTTTAACCTTTGGAACACAGACAGTAAAACTGTCTTTTTTGTTGGTAGCATTAACTTATCAAACTTACATAGCCCTTAGTCTGTCCTAGGCACTATTCTAAGCACTTTGAAATATTAACTTACCTAATCCTGATAATTTTATTGTGTGGATCCATGCTATTCCCTCCCTGTATTTACTGAGAGACAGAGAGTTAATTAACTGACTTGAGATCCCACAGCTAGTAAGCGGCGCTAGAGTTTGAATCCAAGCTTTCTAGCTCCAAAGCCCATATTGTTAACCACCCCGCTGTGCTGCCTGTGAGCAGATTGATAGTTGTTTCAAATTCCCAGTGCTTTAGCATAAACCCTCTTTTCCCAAGTAGAAATCACTGGACCATCTGTCAAATGGTATTTCCTCTTAATTTTACAAAAGTTCTAGCCACTTTAGTTATCTGGTCTTCAAACCATTGCAACTTAGACACCTTAAATTAGAAAGGCAGAGGTTTTTTGCAATAGATCCTCTGACAGATTTGAAAGAGGAGAGCAGCAGAAAGGCCATAGAGTCAAGGAAACATAGTGCACAGCAGTCCGAGGCCATTTAAATAAGAGAAAGTTGCCTTCCTTCTTTACTGTCCCTAGAGGGCATCATTGCTTCAAAGTAGAGCTTGTAATTGTAGTTTTAATGCTAAGTCATCAAGAAGTAGGTATGTAACATTCTGTGAACTCAATACAATTAACAGTGATATATTTCTAGAAACAGTTTTTAAAATCTTTAAGGAGCAAGTTTCTCTTAGTTGACAATTTTATGGGCCTCACTTTTATAAAACAAGTGACATGTTACTCTTTTTACCTAAATAGGACACAAATCCAACTCTGGTTGTCCTCTTATGACTGCTGATGTGAAAACTGATAAAACCCACATGGGACAGAAAGAATCTTCAAATATGACTTATTTATCTCTTTGGAATGTAAACTTATTAATTCAAATCATAACAAATATTTTATCTAAACTCTTATTTTAGAAATAGAAAATGACTTTATGACTTTTTAAATAAAGTTGTGAGATAGGTTTGAACAGAATGTTGTATGTGTACGCAGTGGTACATCCCCTCTGTCCCCTATTCTCAGCCAAGTTGTCTTAATTCACTATCCCATGTACACACTTTGTATTTTCATGCCTCTGTGCTTTGGCCCCTACTGTTCCCTCTGCTAGGAATCCTACCCCCTCTTTTTTCTTCAATGTATACATACATTTGAAATCCAAAGACATTTCCCAGCCCAAAAGGGCGTGTCCTGCCTAAAGATTCATATAGAACCTATTGTCTGTTTGCCTATAAATGAGGTAGTTCCTTTTCTTTTATTGCCTGAGTCAGAAATCTTGCATTGCACTCACTTTCATGTGATTAAAAGGTGGTACAACAGAGTGGGTTAAGAGCAGAAACTCGAGAACCAGATTGCTGGGTTTCAGTCTCAGCCCTGCCACTTCCTAGCTGTGTGACCTCAGGCAAATTACTTACCTCACTGTGCTGTTTTCTTATCTATAAAAAGGGATAATATTTTACTACTTCATGGTGTTTGTGAGGATTAAATGGATTAATATATGTAAAACATTTAGAACAATTCCTGGTACATAATAAGTGCCATGTAAGTATAAGCTATGATTGTCATGACTTTGATTGTGTCCTTAAGTAGTTTCTAAGTTCTTTGAGGACAAGAATATATTGTGTTCCTCACAAGGCATGGCCTCGATTGTAGATATCCAATGAATATATGTTGATTTAATTTAAATAAGAACAGATATGAGCAATTCAATAGAAGAAAGATCTGGAAGGATATGTGCTAAGGTATTAATAGTGGTAGGTGGTTGGGATTATAAGAACTTACATTCTTTTTGCTTATCTTTATTTTCTGATTTTTCTGTAATGAACATGAATTGCTTTTATAGTAAGAAATTATTTTAAAAGTAATTTTTCTTCAGATGGATAAGAAAAATGAACGTAGATATTCACATTGAGATGCAGGATATTCTTGGAGAACTTTCCTTTGAGTTTTGTTAGACAAAATTACATTTTGGAATATTATTCATTCTGTTCTTTTACCCTCAATTCTTGTTTTGTTTTTTTCAAATTGATTATTTTTTAAAATCTTGTACCTAATGGTTGATATTTGAGTTTTTAGAAATGCCTAATGAACTGTATATTTATTTGGTGATTATAATGATTGAAGCTGCATTAATGATTGTTTTGGTTTACTTGTAGCTCATGGTGCTGCTCTCTGGAGTAATAGCATTCATGGTGAACTTATCGATTTATTGGATCATTGGGAACACGTCACCAGTCACGTATCCTTTTTCTAATGACGTAACAAATGCACAGTCTTTTATAGTTTTTAAAACTCCATCACATTAATTTCCTTGAGTCTGACAATTACTATTGCATGGCCTAAATTGAGTAAAGTGAGTTACTTTTTATCTTTAATCATCTCATTCCACACTAGAGCCTATAGAAATTTAAAGAAACATGAACTGGGAAAGTGGATTAGCTTTCTGTATCATGAACAGTTTTGAATTTTCTTAAGTCGCAGATGACCATTTCCCTTATCAAAATTAACGTAGAGAACCATTCCTTGCACATAGTGGGGTAAAATAAATATTTGTGGAGTGAATAATGAATGAGATGGATGCTTGCGTTGTCAATCAGTTCTCAGTTTTTTATAGTAATAAGGTAGAGGTTTGGTTATCCACATAACAAAATATAATCAGACCTCTGAAATTGACATAAGTGACCTCAGAATCCTGGGTATGGTTTTATACTTATGTGGATATGGGTGTGCCTGTTTTTCTCACTGTTACTTCAAGAAATGAAGTCATACCCAGAAGGTCTAAATCAAACTCATTTGCACATTCTTAACATTCTGCTTGTCATTCTGTTTCTCTTCTCATTTCACTTTGCTTCACTCTTAGGCAAATACAAAGAACAGATTCCTTTACATCAGAGAGGTAGTTTAGTAATGTTATGTCAGAGTGTACTGATATATATAAATGGGTGAACACTGATGTCATCAAAGTAAAAAAGCAGCTTACTTGCCAGCTATCAATAAATAACAACAATGATAATCATTTTTTAAAAGAACAACACTTATTAAATGTTTATTTTGTGCCAGGTACTTTTCGAATCACCTTATATATATTAGGCATTTAATTCTCACAGCAGCTCTGTGAGAGGTAAATAAAGTAAATTCTATTACTTTATTTTGCAGAGGGGGAAATGGAGGTGCAGAGAATTTAAATAACTCAAGGTCATGCAGCTGAGAAGTGTCGTATCCAGTTTTCAAACCATGCAGTCTGGTCCCCAAACTCTGCACTGTGCTGCCCAGCCAAGGCATCCAAGTGTGTGCCCTTACTAAGAACATGTATGCATTCAACAGACACTTATTGAACACCCACTATGAACTGTTCATTGACTTCATATTTACATACTTAATATCTACTGTTTGTCAGGCACTGGCAATATAACAAAATAGACAAAAATCTTTGCTCTCACGGGCTTAAGCAGACTGTAAACAAACAAAAAAAGAAAATATAAGTAGTAATGTTAGATAGTGTGCAGTGCTGAGGAGGAAAAATAAAGCAGAATGGGGATGAGAAATGTTGGGGACAGAGTGAGATTTCAGGGAGAGAAGGCAGGAGGGCCTCTGCAAGAGGGGAGCTTTTGAGTAAAGACCTGAAGGAAAAGAGGTTGCTCCATGCAGACCGGGATGAATAGCATTTCAGGTGAGGGACCAGCAGGTGAGAAGCCCGAAGGAACAAGGGAGCCTGTGTGGTCCGAGCAGGAAGCGCAGAGGGTGGAGTATAAGAGGCGACGGGGAGCCAGGTGGAGCAGAGCTCTTATTAAGGACTATTACTCTGGGTGAGAAGGAAGCCATTGGAGTTTGAGCAGAGAAATGACATGATTTTATTTATGTTTTCATAGAGTCACTCTGGTCCACTGTGTCAAGAACAGACTAAAGCATGGTTTCCCAAATCAGTGCTATTTTGACCTTTTTGGCCAGACAATTCTTTGTTGCAGGCGCCTGTGCATTGCAGAATGTTTAGCAACATCACTGGCCTCTGTAGATGCATAGCACTCCCTTTCCCCAGTGATGACAACCACAAATGTGTCCAGGCTTTGCCCAGGTGGCAAAATCATCCCTGGTTGAGAACCACTAGACTTAAGTGAGGCAAGACAGGAAGGGAAACTGTCAAGAGGCCATTGTCATATTCTAATTTAGAAATAATGGTGGCTTGATACCTGGATGGTAGCAGTGGACATAGTGAGAAGTGATTGTATTCTAGATATAAATTGAATATTTTTATTGATTTTTTAGAGAGAGAGGGAGAAGGAGAGAGAAAGAGAAACATGGGAAACATCAGTGTGAGAGTGGAACATTGATCGGCTGCCTCCTGCACGCCCCCTACCGGGATCAGGCCCGAAACCAAGGCATGTGCCCTGACCAGGAATCGAACTAGCAACCTTTTGGTGCATGGGATGGTGCCGGACCAACTGAGCCACAGCGGCCAGGGCTGGGTATATTTTTTAGTAGAGCCAACAGGTTTTGATGACAAACTGGATGTGGAGAATATGGGAGGAAACAAGGTTGACTCATTTGGTTTTGGCCTGAGCACCAGGTAGAATGGAGTTGCCATCAGCTGAGGTTTGGGGGCGAGGAGGAAGAGCACGTGCTCAGTTTTGGGTGAACAAGTCTAGGAGCTCGGGGTCTCAGCTGGGGATAGTCCAGAGAGTCATGCAGTTCCTTCCAGCCACGGGAGACTCTCGCTCCGCGCGTGAGTGTGACTGTGTGGATATAACGTCTAGCTTGTTATGCCTTATCCAGAAACCTCAGCTACAACATGTTTGGACACTTCAAGTTCTGCATCACTTTATTTGGAGGCTATGTTTTATTTAAGGACCCGCTGTCAGTTAACCAGGGTCTCGGCATGCTGTGCACATTATTTGGCATTCTCGCCTATACCCATTTTAAACTCAGTGAACAGGAGGGAAGTAAGAGTAAATTGGTACAGCGTCCTTAATTGTTTTCTTGTGTGTGTGGAGAAAAGTCACCTGAAGATTTAAAAATGTTAAGTGTACGAGTTGCTTTCAAAGAAGAAAAATAATTACATTGCATAATTCATGGAATGATGGTTTCCAAGGAGTAACACAAAGGAAACTTTATTTATAAGTATGACTTTTTCCTTTAGAGTACCTTTTTTGAAGAACTTAATTCATGCCTCTTTTCAAAGGTGATGGTTGTATGAAGTACACAGGATGGTTTGGTTATACCAAATGAAGTACATGAAATTAAAGTTCTGTAAAAGCGGCAGAGGACTTCATATCACTGAACTACAGATGTGTCGAGGTTTTTAAGTGTTCATACTCTTCCAAAGAAGGAGCGTAGCACTCCTCTACTTGCTCGTGGATGGTCCCCAATGTGAGCTCTGTAATTTTATCCACCGTTCAAGTCAGAATTTAAATCTAACATTTCTATTTTAGTTGGCTTAGTATAACTTCCTGCTTATTTCACTTATAGAAATGAAATATAATTTATAGAAAACAAAGTGTAGTACAGAAGGCCACAAAACAAAATCCAGTTCCAAGAGTACCATTTTTCTAGTGGAAAATTGAGGTCAGAAGTTATACGTTATCCAAAAAAACCCTACAGTTTCTATAGATATTCTCTTGTTTTGGAGTTCTCGGTGAGCTCTAGAAACATGTGTGAAGTTAAAAAACAAAGTAGCTCCATGTTCAAATAGCCCAAAGAAAAGATTATGGCCCGGCTGGGCGTGGCTCAGCAGTTGAGCATAGACCTAGGATCCAGGCGATAGGGGTTTGATTCCTGGTCAGGGCACGTGCCCAGGTTGCGGGCTCGATCAATGACTCTCGCATCATTGATGTTTCTCTCTCTCTCTCCCCCTCTCCTTTCCTCTCTCTGAAATCAATAAAGATATATTTTTTTAAAAAAAGAAGGTACTTTAAAAAAAAAAAAAGAAAGATTATAGATGGAACTGAACAGGTTTCTTATGATCTTGGTAACTGTCTCCTGGCCTCTTTGAGCCTTTCATGTTGGTAATTTCTGTGGGGTTTTTTTTTTTAATCCTCACCTGAGAATATGTTTTTCATTGATTTTTAGAGAGAGGAAGAAAAGAGAGAAACATCCATGTGAGAGAGAAACATCAATTGGTTGCCTCCCATATGCGCCCTGACCAGGGACCGAACCTGCAACCCAAGTATGCGCCCTGACCAGGAACCAAACCCGGAGCCTTTTGGTGTATAGGGTGACACTCAACCAACTCAGTCACACTGGCCAGGGCTTAAATTTTATTGATTTTTTTTTTTTTTTTAGAGAAAGGAACGGGTGAGAGGAGAGAGAGAGTGAAACATTGATTGGTTTCCTCCCACACATGCCCTGACCAGGAATCAAACCCACAGCCTGGGTATGTGTCCTGATGACACTCCAACCAACTGAGAGCCATACCAGCCAGGGCAGGAATAATTTTTTTTTTTTTTTTACATTAGGGTATAGGGAAAATACGTTAAGTCTCACCCAAGGAAATATATAGTGCCATGTATTTAATTGCAAATTTTATTTCTGCCTTCTAACTTCTTTACAGAGCATTAAAAACAGTTGTTGATAACCTCTCACAGTAAATTGACTGAGACAGAGAAACCCTCTTGTAATAATTCTTTTTCTAAATATTATTTTTAAACTTGAAATGAGAAAGCAACTCTTAAGAGGACAAAGAGCCATGTGGATTTTTTAGGATTTTTTCCCCCTGACTTGTCTGAAATGAAAGCCTCAAGGAAAATCTATTTTGACAGAATTTCAACGTATCAGTCAATCTGTTATGTGATTCATATGTGTGATTTTCTGTTTGTGTTTTAAATACTTTGGTTCTCAGTTTCCAAAAATATATTTTATTGTGCTAAGACTACAGAACAATTTGTCTTACCAGATGAGCCTCGGGCATTGTCCGTCCACCACCATTCTCTGTATGTCTAAATTAACATATAATTATTCCCCTGAAGCTGGAGAAGAGTTTCAGCACAGTGAGGATTATGTGACGTCTGGGCACTAACAGCCCAGTTAACCTGTGCCATGTACAAATTCTCAACTGTAAATACAACTGGGGGAGATGTAAGTGTTAGGGGAGGGTTATGATAAAGGGCTGATGTCAATAGGAATGTAGTGGGAAGGTTTGAGAAAGATAGCATGGGGTTCCTGTATGTAAGTGAATAAAATATATACTGCTGGAACTAGAGGCTGATAAACAGATTTGGCCCTGAAGATGATCTTCGCATTGAGAAGGAAATTCCTGGGGAAATGTCCCTGATGGCCAGGACCAGCCACGGAGGCAACCGGCAAAGGCGGTGATGTGGAGGCACGCGCCCCGGGGTACAGATGCGACTGACTGGGTTTTTATCCTGTTACATGACTGAAGTTCAGTTTTTACCTGTACAAATAAAGAGATCCTGATATTTTTACTTCTGTGTTGCGTATTAGAGCCGGCGGAAGAACGAAAGCATCTCTGTGCAGTAGGAACGCCGGCCTGTCCAGCTCCCAAATATGCAGAATCTAGTGAAATAAACTCCTCTTGTCCCTTTTAAAATAACAGAAAGGACCAAGCTTTCTCCCGTTTCGTTTTTAGAAATACCTTTTAAACATCGCTACATTTAAATCATTGGTCATCTTTTTTTCTTTGTCTTAAGAGCAGCAGCGCAAACCAGGCATCCACGTTGCCTCCGTCAGTCAGTAGGTGTTGGGTGAGTGAATATGCAGAATCGCCAAAGGTGAAAGTCTTTGAAAAGAATGGAGATCAAGTTTATTAACCGTTCCATTTTGCACTTCTGTTTCCAAACTTGAACTGGATTATACTTGCTGACATTAGGAACACAATAATTTCATTCACTCAACAAAGGTTTACCGAATGTGTATTATGTGCCAGGTACTGTGCTAGGCACTGTGCAAAGGCATGCCTTTGGTGCAAAGACAGCCCTGTGTTCTCAAGAGACATCTGTCCGGCAGAAAAGATAGATGTTAATTAAATAAAAACAGTGAGTTTATTATGCTAAAAGAGGCCTGGTTCTCTGGAGCATATAACCAAACACTGTGGCCCAGGACTGGCTGTCAGTGAAGGTGTCCATGAGGAAAAAGGTTGGTTGAGCTGAAATCTGATGAACCATAGAAGTTAGCTAAGCAACGGCAGGGGACTGCATTTCTTGTAAGAGGGAATAGCACATACAAAGGCCCGCTGGTTGGAGGAATTATGAGTGGTAAAGAACTGCAAAAGGGATGGAGTACGGGGGAGGGGGAGGTAGAGCCTGGGAAGGCAGGCTGGCCTCGGTCCATAGAACATCTGGTAGGTTATGTTAGAAATCTAGTAAGAGCAAGAGGATGTGTTCTCAGCCATGTCACAGTCAACCCCGCTGTTTTGAAACAAAGGTGAACCAGAGATGCCAGGAGACCAGTTGGGAGATGACTTGTGAAATGTGAGAGTTTGGAAAGGTGGTGGTGAGATAACAGAAGTGGATGAGTTGAAGATTTAGTAGATGGGATCGCTGGGCTTGAGATGGATTGGAAATGAAGGGCACGGGAGAGGGTGAAGAGAATCACGTGTCTGGTTCGCACAGCCTGACAGAGAATGATGCCCTTCTCCCAGGACACACGGCAGGAGGAAGGGGATGAGCCCATACGTAGCCCTCTTGACTGAGGCACCCAATTAAAGATGCTAACCAAGTAATCAGGGACACGGGTCTAGGAGTTAGGAAGTTTTTGACTTAGAGTGGAGATAAATCTTGGAGAGTTTCTGGAGTATACCAGATAAAGATGAAAACATAGACCAAGATGAGCTTGGTATAAAGCAAAAAGATAGTCTACAGCTGAGCCTACAGGCACTTCAGCATATGCTGGTAGAGGAAGATAATTCTGCAAAGAAAACTGAGAAGGAAGGAAGAGTGGGAGGAAAATGAGGGTGGCGAGCTACGGGGAGTGAGAGTGGACAAATGTGATGATATTGCCAAGAAATCAAGGTAGATGTGGACAGAAAAACAGCCGTTGTATTGACAGTTTCCTGGTGACCTTAGGCTGTTTCAGTGGAGTGATGGAGGCAAAGAGCAGATTGGAGTGGGCTGAGCCGTCGGTGTGAGAGGTAAGGATATGGGATCCAAGGGTCTAGACAACTCTGTTGCTAATGTAACACGCAGTGTTACAAGCAATCCTGAATGCTGCTTGACACGACGGGGTGGGCAGGGGGCTTTTTGTGTGTGAGTCTAAGACTTCCATTGTAATAACTTATTATTACAGATTAAAATTGTAAAGCACCAACTATCCTGTGTACCCTTAGAAACAGTGCAGATGCTTCTGTAGCACTGATGATCTTTTGTTCTGGAAAGTTTTATTTTTGGCTCCTGAGCTCCTGAATGTATTCTTGTGATGTGGATTGCTATTAATAAAGTCAACAGTTACTTTTGTCAACTGCAGATACTTTGGAAAAACAATTTTGCAAGCCCACTAAGGGCTGATGCAGTCATGCGTTTTCTTATTTCTAGTATTGCTCAGGTTAAAAAGAAAGAGGAACCTGCCAAGAAAAAGACCAGTGTCAGCCTGGGGACCAGTGTGGTGCAGTGGTAGGGGGCTATCCTGCACATCAGGACTGTGGCATCCAGTCCAGACTCTGTCATTTACTGGGATAGCCTTGGCATTAGGCAAGTCGTTTGACTTACAGTTCTCAGTTTCATCTATAAAATGAGAGCTTGGATCCAGATGATTTCCAGGGGTCCCTCCAGCTGTGAAATCCCCTGGTTCTGCTTTCTCAGACTAAATTTATAATTTCTCATTTGTTTATATGGAGAGCAGATGTGATTAAATGGAAAGAATTTATTCGACCCTTATAAGGATTGTTTTCTTGTTCATGGACATTTCTTTACTCATGGGTTCTGTTTTTAGAAAGTATATACAAAACATTAAATGTGACTTATTTTCATATTTGTTATATTAAAAGACATGATTTGATTCATTTGACTTAAGCTGCTTCACATGTCATATAAAATCACTGGGAGGTGAATTATTTCCAAGTCAACTAATTATAATTTTTGCTGTGCTGTTTTTAATTGGGAAACAGGGCATCACCCAAACCATAATAATTCACATTTTTCTATTTAACTAAAAATATCTCATAAATACCATGTACGCCACAAGAACAAGCCTGCATAATTATTTAACCAGCCAGAGATATGCATTTTTTAAGGACTTTATTTTTTAGGAGGAGTTTTAGGTTCACATACATTTCTAAATTTTGAAATTTTTCGTTACCCATAAGAGATTATTTTTCCTTTTAACATCAAATGATCCGTATCAACCAAATGTCATCATTTTCCTTTTCCTGTTTGTTCATATACTCCCCCAAAAGTCAGCTTCCTGTTTTCTCAATTCCCCTTTTCTTAAAATTATAGCCAGCCATTTGGTGCAGGAGCGTGATGGGTGGACCTTAACCCAAGAGGTGGGAGGCTCAAAAAATATTAGCCTTCCGAGGAGATCTCCTGGGATCTCTAAAACAGGGGTCACTACAGCAATGGTCAGATTCTCCAGGTCTTCCTTTGCCTGGAGTTTAGAAGAAAACTAACCTCTTTTGACGGAGTTCTTTGAGAATTATGGAGTGACTCATTGGCTTGACATAGCAGGATGACGCTCCAACCAGCTGAGTTACCCAGCCAGGGCAAAGAGGGTCATTTTTTAAAGGACATTTCACCAAGAACATCATCATGAATAACATAACAAACTAATAAAAGGAAAGTTGAGATTTGAAACACACCCCTATCAGAAATTGATAGAGCACGC